TAAAGCTTATGTTGTACGTCACATTCCAACTACTGTGAACACTCATGTGTGTATTTTTTATTACTCTATTTACTTACTGTGGGGGACTACTGCATTTCTGTGTGATAGTTTAGTCTGGCCTGACCCCACTGCTTTGCACTGCGATAACATAAAATGATAAACAAGTTATTGTATTGTCTGAATTAAAAAGACCCACCTTGTGCTATCTTTTCTATAATGAAAGACCCACTAAATGTAACGAACTCGAATAATCACTGGATGATTTTTAGAAATATGTCCACAAGTTCATACTAACTAGCTACCATTATTTAGCAAAGGCATTAGAACGAAAAGTGAAGAAAGCGGTGGAACTGCTTGAATACTGTTCTAGCAAGCTACTCTCTAACGGCAACAGAGTGAAAACGCAAGTTCAAAAACCCTTAAAAATCCACTCCGTAAAAGTAATCACTACTCTTAAAAGAGTTAAAACGTGAGAATCACACCAAAAGAGGAGCCACATAAAGGACAACTCTTTTTGAGTTATCCTGCACAAATTTTTTAATGGCTCTTTAAAACAAAGTGGAAATTTCAGTCTTTTCGTGTGATTTTCAACCTTTTAAGATTTGGTATTTTTCTTTGTAGATTATTTTAAAACTCTCATCGAGTGGTTTTTTAAGTCTTTCACAATGTAGACAGTGAGTCTTACTTCCAGAACCTGATAGAATGAAAGCATGTAAGACTGTTTTCAGGCTGAAAATCATTGTATCATTTCACTTAAGTATGGATGCATTGCATGGACCGAATTCGATGACACTACTGTTAGATAAACACTGAATTGTAAAAAGAGTTCATTCTACAAAGTCCTGCAAAGTGCTCCGGTTGCTGGCTATGCATCTGGTTATGAAGCTGTGCAATCAGCCCCAGAATATAATTAATTAATCGACCGTAATATTTTATCGCCCACAGCCAAAATGACCACCAGTAGCGAAGAGTAAAGGCCGTTGATAGCCTGAAGTTGTCTACATTGAAAGATCAGTACAGGGGTACTTTTCTGTGAAACTCTCGTTTGTTAAAAGCGGTACACAGATGTTTATAGAAACAGCGCTCCAGCGAAGGAATACAGCGTCCAAGCGATCGCGACTGACCTGACAGGGGTGTTTTTGACAGGCAAATTATTGCATAAGGCATATTATATATGTCGACATCTAACTGGTCAAAAACACCCCTAGGGCGGGGCAGGTAAATACGAATAGTGAAGCCTTTCTAAAACTGAATGTAAACTCATTCAGATTATGTCATCTATTGAAAATTGGTTGTATGCTAGTATCATAAGAAAAAATCTTGCCAATTACACTTGGAATTTAGGAGATTCAAAATAAGTAGAAATCCATTATATTCCTGGAGAAACCTTATCGTAGCAACGGGATACAAAGAGATTTTGTAAATTTTAACCTTCAAACCGACATCAAAATATTTTAATATATTAGCATTATTACAGTAGTTAAAAAATTCGTAATGAAGCAAATTTCAAAGTGTATAACAAGGCCAAAAACTGTTCAAAATTTTAAATTTTTCTGCTCTGACCTGTGAAATAAAAGTTTTTTCATAAAAGTTCATAAAATGCTCACAGTTTTGTCACATCTGTTGAATTAAATCCCGGTTATACTGGAAACATTTTCACCTACACTCACCCACCACCCACCCTGTGTAAAAACCTTAGCCGCTGCAAGATGGTCGGCACGTTTCTGAAACCTCTGAAAAAAGAGTCCATTTGTTTGCACAAGGTTCCGATTTTTACACCCCCTCCTCTAAGTTAAACTGACAGGGCATATGCGGTGGTAGCAACACCCTGTATATACTTACACAGTATCTCTACAATTAAGCATAAACGGTGTTAACAACATCCGGTATCGCCGTACGCTTGTATTAATACGCATACAAATACGCATAAATTTCCTTTTGCCTCCAAGACTACCTACTCTAGCATCATTTCATGCCATAGGAAACCTCTTTCTGTAAAATGTTGACATGTAAAAACTGTTCTTTTAGGCACACTAAAGTTATAAAGGCAGGGAATAAATTTCACGCAGACGTTTATTGCAAACTTTTTTTCGCTTCGCGTGAATACTTCTGCGTTGGCTTGGACCCCTTCCTCTAAGGTTTAGGCTTACGCAACGTCAGCCACCCTCTTTTCTTTCATGCGTATGCAATGGGCAGGAAACGGGCCTGTTTCGTTGTGGAAAACTTGATTTCCATGGCAACGCACTGAGAAAAGGACGTGCATCGTCATTAATACTTTTGTTCTGGCTCTTTTCCCCACAAAGACATCAACGTACAAAATATCGCTTTAGAGAAACCGTTCACTGTTATTGTCTTGTTCTGTCGCCCAAAATGGTGTCCCTTGAACATTAACGTGAAACAAAACTACAGCCACTGACGTTGGCAATACATCTCAGTTCATCAGTGACTTTGATCAAGTCAAAAATGACTGACAAGCTAAATCCCGATGAGGATTGACTGAAATGTCCATTTACGAGTAAACCTTCCTGACTAAGCACGTATCCATAATAAAACTACCACCTACAATGTGAATTTTTCAATTGAAACATACGTCTTCCGTATACGTTAGACCGAATTGCTTTTCTTTTCGAGATGGCGGAAAAATCCAGGGGAAAAATCCAGGGAAAAAGCACTTTGGGTTTTCCAAAATTTCTACGGTTTTCTGCGGTGTAATTGTTTCGACCGTACATCTAAAAAGAAAGAGTTAATGGAAACGGTTGCCGTAATTCACCCTATACATTCTAGAGCCATAGCTGAATACCCTATAGCTGAACGGAGCTAATACCCGAGCCCAAGTCCAGAAACATTCAGAGCGTTCATATTTTGCTATGAATCTGTATAATGCTTTTACTTCATATCTTCAAATAACCCTTTCACTATCATATAATGGGAACGGCTTGGGTATTTATGAATGTCCAGTAAATGCTACTGGCAAAGGAAAAACCAAATAGCACTGCAACTGAGCTTGCAACCGATTGCGGCAGTGAAAATGTTTTACGTAAAACACAATTTGAAGTGGAATGTTATAGAATTGTTATTTTCAAATGAAAAACGTGAAACTAGGCCAGTGTGATTTTCTGTATTTTCTTCAAAACTTAACACTAGCTTGTATATTTACACTTGTTAGTGTGTTATTCCGACATCGGATCTGTACATATTTCTGGATAATGTATTTCGTACCTTCGAGACATTTTAACAACTGACTCTGACCCAATATAAAGATTTAGGACAATTATGAAAACGTAAAATATGGTCCATGACAAGACTACACTTCTTGACAAATACACGTAATACGACCACCTAGTTTTAGGTGACCTAGCTCTTCCCTATTTTCCTCACGCTTGATTTTTTATTTATCACTCTTCAAACATTGCTTTTTCTCTCTTTCTACCCTTGCAAAATATGGGAAACCAATTCAAACCCATCTCAAACCTTGCATCTTTCACTGCGTGGATTTTTCGACGCCTGCAATACTCCTCTTTTTAAAATCCTAATTAATAACCCTGCATGTGGCAGTTCTAGCATTTAATTAAGATCTTTTCGATGTATCCTCCCAAGACAACTTCATTCAAAATGCACCACAAAACATCTCCGACAAGAAGACAAGAGAAGATTATGTTGATTAACACATTACGTTGGGGACCCCCGAATCTACATGATGTGAAGGGCAAAGACGCTTGGGAGTGAAATGATTCATTGGTTGGCTGATGAGTGACGTGGCTGCCCGGACTGCGGAGATCCCGGCTCGACGGAGTTTTTTCTTTCTTTTATACAGAAAGGGTCACGTGAATGAAATGTTAACGTAAAATGCAACATTCTGGAAAAAATGATAATGAGTCTGTGCGCAATTGGCCAACAACTAATCGACTCCTAGTCCCTCGCCATACAATAAGGACACGGGGTTTAACATCCATCATTTCACAATTGCATATAATCTACTTGGGGTAAACACTGCCATAACACCGAGCCGGAACTCGACTCCACAACCAATACCGTAGCCAAGAGCAAACAGAAGTGGGCATTCCTTCGTTACACATGACACAGCCAGTCTCATGCTAACTACTGTACCTACTACAACAGCTCCAATGCTCGCATGTTGGGCCTGTCTGTACGAAGCTGCTTATGAAAGTAAGTACATGCGTTTTGTTTTACTAACTGAATTTAACAAATTGAATTGAAGAAAACTACATAAGACGAACTTTGGTAACAAGTCGAATAAGTCTTACAAAAAATTATTTTGACCTATTTCAATTAGCTTGATTCAGAATACAACATTGCAGGAGAGAGAAATAAGCTTTCTATGCGCATTTTAATTAAAGGTAAATATAGCATAGATACACGTACAACAAATTCAAATAGTATGTACCTTACGTAACTTTAAAGGACCCAGAACGTGCAATACGTAGAAAGGACGATGGCCTGAGCATTTTCAGGCCAAGCTCTCGTGGATTTGAAGACTGATCTCTTGTGCTGTCATTTAATACGTACGACAGTGTTTCCGCAAAATGACACATTTTGGACTGAAGGTGCCGAAAAACGATGTATCTCATCGCCTAGGCAAGTAATAAAAGTACTGACGTAAAGGCTTTCGCGTGCATGTGTATAAAGAATTTCCAATTCTTCGACTGGAGCTAGCCCAGGACGGCCGAAGGACGGGGCACGATCTAAAAAACACATATTTATTAAAACTTTGAGCTAATTTCAGTTCATCTTATTTGATGTACTCATTGCGTTAATCATATATGAATCGATGTACCCTGATGCACAGTAGGACTGAAGTAAATATGTGTCCTTTATGTGATTATAGCAAGTATCTTTTCTTGCTGTTTCTCATATAGGAAAACTGGCTTTAAAAGTTTGAAGTAATAAAATACACAAGCCGCAGCAAAAAGGCTTCGGAGACCTTGGTGCCTCATCTGAAACAGGTCATTTGATCACGATATCATAAGATCGGCACAACGATGCAGAGTTTCCCAAGGGACTACCCGGGACTCTTTTACGTGGATGTAGTATGGATTGGCTTGGTGTCCATTGCTGGTGTTATCGGCAACTCCCTAGCGCTCTGTGCTGTGGCCACCACCCCGTCTCTACGAACAACAACACAACTCAACATCACCATCTTAGCAGCTGTGGATCTTGTTGTAACGGCGGTCATCCTCCCTTGCCGCATTGTCTCAGAGTACTACCCTGATCAGTGGCCCCACCGGGAGTCCTGGTGTCACTTCCTAGCTTATGCCATAGTCTTCTTCATGGGCTACTCTCTTCAGCAGCTAATGTACCTGTCGCAGAGTCGGTTCCTACGGGTGACCAAATCCGAAGCGTTCCACAGGAAGGCCGCGAAACCACTCAACATCATTCAGCAGGTCTGTGCCGTCTGCATCACAAGTATGTTAGTCTTTCTCCCTGCTTACACAGGCTTTGGGTCCGTGGGCTACCACCCAAAGTCACATTTCTGTTTCACCACTGGACGCAACCAGCAGGTCCTCGCCGCAGTCTCTGTGGTTTTGGCCCTGGTTGTTACACCGACTTTCTACGGTCTCACCTTTATGTATGTTCGCGCTCATCAAAGAAAGGTGCAAAATTGGCAAGGACATAGTTTAAAGAGAAGTGGGAAGAGAACTGGAACGCAGACGACAAAGGCGAAAGAGACAGTATCGACGAGTCTCAATGACCACAAGAAACAAGACGAAAGCGCAGGCACGATCAGCCGTCAAATGACAGATGGGGAGTCAAGTCTTGGCCAAAAAAGGTCCCGCTTCGATTTTCCCAAACCGACTGACTCGAGAAAAGGCCCTGAAAAACCCATTCCATCGATCTCGGGACATTCAACCTTAGAAATGGGGAAAGAAGGACCGGTGAACCGGGGAGCAGGAGCACCTGTAAAAGCAGTGCAAAGGAGCGGACCGACGAAGGAGAGCGTGAAAATCACCAGGAACCTGCTACTGATTTTCTTTGCTTACATGTGCTGCTGGCTGCCTTGGTGTCTGCTCAGTCTGGTAGAGCCCTACTTGGACATTGCAGTGCCGATTTACCACATCATCAACAACACGATAGCGACTAATAGCTGTATCAATCCTTACTTGTATGCCTACATGAACAAAAACTACTGGAACGCCTTCAAAAGGTGTTTGGCATGCAAGTGTTTTCACAGGCGATGAAACATGCACCCCTCTGCATTAATGCGGCATAAACACATAAACCAATGTGGAAGGATAAAATCAACAATCAAAGGAAACAAGGCCTAAACTGAGAGGAGGGTTAGACGCTTCTTTGCCTTCTTCGAGTTCACCACATTAACCCAGTTTTTCCAAAAAAAAAATCTCATTCATTCTCCCACAGGATAACCTGTCGTCTTTGGGAAGTGGTATTTCCATTTCTTTAAAACAAAAAGCATATCATACCTTTTTCTTTACAGAACGTTCAAAAAGGCTTCGAAAACACTGAAAACTTTCACACGAGTTTATTCGATTATTCACACTATATTGCTGTCCATGCACGGTCTTCGGAGCGTTGTATATAAACGGCGTGCACTCTTGTTATTGTTGAAGACAGCACCCGAGTAAAATTGGCTAGTTCTGGATATATATTTCTGTTCGCTTTTAATATAAAGAAATGGGGACAAACAGAGACATAAAATACTGGCGTAATGGTACCTTATTTTAGTATACATGATATCCAATAAATGGCGAAAAGGAAATAAGACCAGTTTAAAGTTATAAAAACTCATTTTTAAGTTAATGTGAAAATATGGTAACACTTGCTGGGAATATAACTACTGAAAAACAGGTCATCCCTCTACTTTGCTTGGATTTGATGTCACATATACCACTGGCGCAACACAGTGAAAGAGTGGTGTCTCAATAACGTTTCACAGGGGACAACGCTGACGTTCGACCGTGATCGTTTCCAGCAAAGTCATGGGCTTTGGGCATGGTTGCATTGCTGGTTATCAATAGGCTTTATTGTAGTTTGTTACTTGGGGTTAATTGACATAATACACTTGCGCCAAATTGCAGACCCTGCGAACGCAACGGCAACCAACCACTGCAAATTACTACTTGTAGGTGACGATGGGATTTCACCAAACGCGTCTCTGCGCTAATCCCGTAAAAAGACGTCAAGTCGGGAACACACACCAAATCGTACTGTGTGCGCAGCAAATAAAGACAAATACAGACATCTGCAATCCCGAGGAAAGGCAACATTTGTTGCTATTTCGAACACCTGTCTGTCGTGATTTTTTTAAAAATCATATGCAAAACAGTCTCTGGACCATTTAGATTGCCAAAACCTTCTAAAATACGGGTATGTATGTTATTGATGGATATTTTACATATGAATATCAATCCCCAAATTCACGTAGGCCTATGTTACATTATTTAATGGAATAAATACATGTACCTCACAACAACGGGAGCGCCTTAACAGCTACGTAGCAAATATAAATCCCAAATCAGAACTGATTGCCAAATGTATACATGGAATTGGATTGGCTGCCTGTACCCGTATCCACCCTTTTGACTTGAAAACCCATGAAGTCTGCAAGTGCTCCTGTTGGGTAGCCGGTTGGGGACCCTCGAAGCCTGATGGCACATGCTATCGCTGCACAGGAAAAGTCGACCCTTGACAGGCAAAGCAAATTTATCTTTACTCTCCCAGTACTTGAACTGTCAAAGACCGTCAAGTACTGACACAACACTTGTCACTTTGGTGGATATTTCCCCTTAATGCAATCATTTCTGTGGTGTTGTTAAGAGGCAGCAGGCTAACAAATTAAAAATAATCCATATTAGTTATTCAGAATTTCACTTATTCTAAAGTGAAGTTACATTCAAAAGAATCTATTATGTTAAAAAATACATAAAGACTGCCACTGCCTACAAAGTGCAAGTTGAAAGTCCCCTTCAATCTGGGAAAAGCATAACAAAATTCATGGCGCGCATCAAATTTAAGCCTTTTTTATGACATCACACTACGGCTCAGCAATCACAATACATGTACTTCATTATTTCTAAGGAGCACGCAATGCACATGAGCACAATTACATGTACTGTAACATTCGTTATACATGTCTGAAAGTATTTCAATCTTTGTTTTTTCGGGGGCTGCAGGCAACAACCTGACTCAGCACATCCTCAACATTTTACACTTGTCACTGATTGTAATTTTCTTATTCACATGATTTCACCTTCTGGTTTAATGAATATCCAGGGTGGGCTCGAGTTGCCATGGCAACAGGACCTTTAATAGGATATTGAAAGAGCCTCTTGTCCTTAGAGATGCTCAGTCAATATTACTTCAATTTCCTACACAGCTAGAAATCCAACTTGATTTCTATTCCTGGGAGGAAATTGGACGTTAAATTATTTCATTTTAAAACGCCCAACGCTGACAAATTTATAAGTTCAATTACTTCGTCGGAAACAAACTGGACGAATTTCGTTTTTAGATAACTTCCAAAAAGTTGATATAATCTACATGTACTGATTTTTCGATGGCTTTCCTTCGTCCAATGTTGACTTTAAGGTAAAGTCAATGGCAAAAAGATCACTTACAAAACTGCAATTTTCTTTTACAGTTGAGATTAGATTCTGCCTGCAGTGTCATTATGCTTCTTTGCACACAAACCAACTTCAAAACCATCATGTATTTAAATGCTGTTATTTAAAAGGTTGAATATGTTGTTTAACTGTTGAACCCTCAGCAACAAGTAAAAAGAACAGCACAAAATATATATTGGGGATTTTTGTTGACAATGCACTACTTTAGTAGACCCTCTTTTCAATTTTGTAAACACTTTCTGGGCACAAGGTTTTGGCTTTTTGGAAAGATTTTAGGATAATAAACCTTTCACAAGATATTTACTGCATCCGTCTTTATAGTAATTTAAAAAAAACTAACTTGACTCTGATCAACAAAGACATTTAGTAAAATTTGATTAGGAAACTTTTGAAAAGGTCAATGACCGTCAATTTGAAAAATTTTATAATTATACAGCCAGGATCTGGGGTTGAGCAAGTCGAGGGGCCGTGGTCCATTTGTACAGTTCACAAACGGAGGTAAGCATATTTATTCGTCGACGTTCCCACGAGCACCCTCCGTGTCCGGCAGGGACTTGGTGAAGACCATCGTCTTCATCAGCGTGCCTGTGCAGTAGATACTGTCTCTGTTACGGTTGTAGCCGTTGAAGAGAAACGGGCCGACCAGTTTCATCTTCATGAGACAAGTCTCCGAAATATATTTTCGGGTTTAGAGACAAGTTCCGTTGGCCTGAAATCTGATTGTGTACTCTCTACATTAATCCACTTTCAACTAACGGCATGGAAAGCAAAAAAGTGAAATCAGGTCAAAACGTTAGCGCTTGTTGCATCTTCTCCTGCTTGTTCGATTTTGACAACGGTACTGTACATAGCGTACCAGGGTGGCACAAGCTGGTTTTCCAGCAGGCCGCTTATATTAGGTGGCATTCACTCGCTGTTGTGTTGGTCTAACTTGGGCTGTGTCGATGTCCAACAGGGACTTTCACAGCTACGGATACGTCTGTTGCCAGAGTGTCCGCGAGCATTTCCAGTGGTCGAAAATCCAACGTTTTCTTACAGGCTGGGATGCAGCCTGTGTGTTAAAGGCAGCTATTCGACACTAGCTCGCACGGCTTTATACGCTGCAGACAGTAGTGACAGGAGAGAGGCAATGGGCCAAGAAACTTTGGGGGAAGGAGGGCCCTATTCTGACACCATAAATTCGCCACTTTTACGTTCTAACTATTCCCCTCGTCGAATTGAACTCCCCAAATGACTAGTTCTGTCTTGATACGTGAGGAAGCCACAACGGTAAATGTTTTTGAAAGTGCATACTACTCCATATCCTTTAATTAAATAACACCTCTAAGGAAAATGCAGCCATTGTTTATAGCCATTGTTTGGCGTGTTCAAAGGTTATCCACCGTCTACGAACGCAAGGCGAGGGTTCCCCTCGTTTTCTGTGTTTTCTCCAAATGACGCAATCTACATTCAGAATTTGCATCTTGGCATGAACAGAGAAAAAGCCTTTTTAGATTGTTATAGGTTAGGCCTGAAGACAAATGACACTGCGTTCGATATGGACGCTTCCATATTTATTTGGACAGATAAAATCAGAAAAAAACATGTTTCCCTAAGAAGTACTCTATAGTGTCAAACTAAAGGAATAATTCGCATTTGCCCAAAGACTGGGCCACTGATGAAGAAAGACAGCTACAACTGGATTTAGGTGTATTACAAGTGACGCCAAGACGTAATGTGTGACAGCGTATAGAGTGATCAATACGGCGTGAAAGCGGCAATGTAGGGAGAGTCAGTAAGGAGACTTTCCTATGGCACAACGTGGGTTTATCAACTGAATTGGAGCGATGTAGGCCTAGTGATAATTAATTATCAAAGGTACAAGGTGGATAATCATAGTCGCCCAACCTTCGTTACTACACTGAATAGTACAGTAAGCAAAACGAGAACTGTGACTGGGCACTGCATTATGTGACTAATGTTTTCAAAATACATGTAGTGGTCATGTGGCAGAGACTTCCACGTGCAAGAGCGAACAAAAGTGCAAATTTGTATAAACTGGCATATCGATACAATAATAAAATATACTGCACTTTTAGGCGAGGCGTGAAGGTCAACGTGAGGAAGTCAGTCAAGGCCGACTGTAATGCTGGCTCTTCGTGCGCCTGCACAAAACATCACGGGGCAAATACTCTGTGTTGGAATTTAGAAGCGCAGGGCACTTACAGTTATTGTTGTGACCGAACAAACATTCCAAACGGTACCAACTAAATCCGGGAATGGAAAGTAAGCCCTTTGAACAACGTCTCTTCTCGGATGAGTGTCGCGTTAAAACGTGGATAAGTACTATTTGAATTTTGCACTTGAACCGAGTGGATGTACGCTGGTCTGGCGGCCGCGGCCTTGCCAGCATTTTTACAACACAGACGTAATTTAAGCTGACAGCTCCTGCTGACTGGCACTTTGATCGGCAACAGAGGCAGACATTATATTATCGCATATCCCATCTAGACGGTTTCCTTGGCAATGCCAAAAGCTGCTGACTCTTTGAAACCGATATGGTACCGGCCAAGGGCCGGTATAGGCTGTAATATCGGGTTCGCTGCATGGCAAATATGAATTTGGTATCTGTCTGCAGACGGAGAGCCGACAGTGCATTTATCTGGTGTAAACGTACTTACTGATATCTTTCATAATTTTTCAATGTTTGATCGACGCTTTCAACAACCTGTAAAATTGTATTGTCTTTTGTTAAAGAACGCAATTTCTCCCAAACAGTTTAACCTAACCAAACAACTTAATGT